CCTTTGCCCAGAGCCCCTTTGGTGCTGCCGAAGGGAGCAGGAATGTCTGGCAGGATGGAGCAGGCAGCTTTATCCTGAGCCAGGAGGGTTTCCCCACAGGGCACCCCATGGAGATGGGGCTCCATCATGCCAGGTTTTACCCCCCTTCCCCACTCCAGGTGATCCCCCAGGGTGTTGTTCCGACGCCGTGCGTTCCCTGCTGCCTGGTGCTGACGGACGAGAAAGCTTTCACGTGCCACGAGGACTGCCAGACCAGCTTCTTCCGCTCGCTGGGCACTGCGGAGCTGACCGACATCACCGCTGTCTCCACGGAGGCTGGCAAGGAGTACTGCATCCTGGTGAGGGCAGGGCTTTGGGACCTGCTGGCCCAGGGCTGGGCAAGCACCCAGTGCTGACACCTGGCCTCTCTCGGTGTTCAGGAGTTTGCTCAGGACAGCAAGGAGTTCCTGCCCCCCTGGGTCCTTTATTTTAGTTGCACTACGGAACTGGAGAGGTTCCTGTCAGCACTGAATGTCGCGTGGAGGAACATCTACCAGGTGAGCATGTGGAGCTGCCTCACACCCTCACTGAGCGAGGGTGGGCAGAGGGATGAGTTTGTCCCTGTAGGGGTGAACCCAGATTTCCCACAAAGGGCAGGAGAGCCAGAGAGCTCCTCTGGCTCCATATAATCACAGGATGTGGGATTTAGAGGCTGGCAAGACAAGCCATGAGCACCCAGTACTGGCAAGGGGAGTGGGAGGAATGTGGGTCAGCCCTGCTGTCACCATTTCCATGACACAGGTGGCTTGCCCATGTGGGTTTGAGGTGGTTTTACAGTGTGAGAGGGAGAAGTGACTGTTGTCTGTTTCCCTCCTGCCACCCCACACCCATGTTTCAGGTCGATCTCCAGCACAAGGCCATTCTGGATGCTGCTGTGAAGAAGAAATGTGAGGATGCCCAGAGCCTCATCGACAGCGCCTGGCAGCGCAGCGACAGCCTCTGCCGGGGACGGGCCGAGCGGGACCCCTGGTGCTAACCCTGCCCAGGGGAGGACAGCTCACGGGGGCCCATTTTTGGGGATCAGGGCCTGTATCTGGGCAGCTGGCACCCCAAACCCTCCTGCCATCGCTTGGTCCCCACTAGGGCCATGCCTGCAGCGTGGACCCCGCGCTCTCCACCAAGCCAAGAACGTCCAGCGTGGTTTGGGGAGCAGCCAGACGCTTCACCGCCTGCACCTTCCTCCTTGTCCAGCTGCCACGGGGCAAATAATTTGCCTTTTACAGAATAATGTCCCAGCAGTAGTGAGGGAGCGGGTGGGAGCAGGGTGGGCTGGGACAAGCATCCCCGTTCTGGTGGGGAGCAGGACTGAGGACTTGTTCATTTTCGAACAGGGTCGGGGCGAGGCGGGAACACTCAATCCCCACCGTGCATGTTTTGTTGCTCATACAATCACCGCTGTGTTGGGAGGAGGAGTCGGCACCGCCCCGCCTCCTTCTCCGGGAGAGCTCGCCCGGGGCCTCCGGGCTCCACTGAACCACGCAGCCTGTCCAGGAGATTTGAGGCTAAGGAAGAAGGAACAAGGCCAAATATTTGGCTTAAACATGGTTTTAGGAGATGTCAGGAGCCGGTTTGTGGTTTTAATGCTGACCCTGTGCATTGAGGGAGAAGAGATGGAGTCCCACGTTCTTCAGGTGTCCTGAGGGACATTGTCATGTGGCTGCCACCAAACATGTCCCCATCTCCTCAGCTCACTGCATCTGAGGCCAACGAGGACCCATCGCCACTTGCGCTCCACAACGAGCACTTTGGGGCACAACCCCAGCTTTTAAATAATATTAATAACAATAATAATAACCTGGAGACCTTCTCATGTAATATAAGTTCACGGGGCCTTTTTCTGGGAGGAAACATACGTGACTGAATGTATATGTACATACATTTGCTTCCTTTCCCCCCTCCCCAAATAAACAGACCTTGGTAACTCAGCCTTGGCCCCATGCCAGATTCTGCCACTGCTGCTCCTCCTGCCTCCTGCAGTCACTTTGGAGCCTGTGGGACGGCTCTGGGCAGGGAGAAGGGGGGATTTGGATGAAAAGAGGGGAGGACATGCACCTCAAGCTCCTCAACAGCGTTAACCCTGCAGTGGGACACGTTTGTGGCTTCAGCTGGGAGTTATCCATCAGGACACAGATCTTCATGCTTTACCCTTGCTTATCCCTGGATCCAGGTGATATTCCCAGTCCCCTGGATCCAGGAGATCTAGTCCAGTCTAGAAAAGAAACAGCCATGGGGCCAGCCCCCAGCATCACCCACTGTCCCCATAAACCCTCCTTGACTTCTGACATGGAAACGAAAGTGTTGGGGGATACTGGGACAGTCACTGGCAGGGGGGGAGTCTGGGATATGGGGGCTTCACACGTCCTGCCCCTCAGTTACCACCGCAGCGCCTCGGCCATGGGGGTCCCTGCGCAGCCCTAAAATTAGGACTCGACGGCGGGGGGCGGGACACCGACATCCCCACCCCCCGCAGCATTTTTCCGCGGGAAGCTCCAATTTCAAAGCACCGGGAGAGGCAGACGAGACCCTCTGCAAGTGCCCCCCACACCGCGGCCACAAGCGCAGCGAGCTTTCCAGTCCTCATCCTGCTCCCCATGCTGGCTGGGGCGGGGGGGGGTGACTGCGTGCGCCCCCCAAAATTCCTCTCCCTCCGTTTCTGTTCCCATGCTACCCGCCCTTTTTTTGCCTGCTTTTCCCTATTTGCGCCGGGGCAGCACCATCACGTGAGACCGGGCCCGGCTGGACGCGGCTGCCGGGGGCGCGCCGGTGTCGGGGGGGGCCGGCCACGCACCCCCAGGCCCGACCTTTGCCCCACATCCCTTCCCCAAATTGGGGGCTGGAATTGGGGGGGGTTGGTTTGCAGGAGGCGGCGCTCGCTCGCTCTCGCTCCCCCCGGATTTTTTTTCCCTGCGGTTGTTCGGGGAGGTGGAGCCTGGGGCCACCCCCGCGGGCAGGTGCCGGATGGCGGCGGGGACCCTCGCCCCCCGCCCTCCCGACTCCCTGCAGGAATTCCAGTACCCCCCCCAAAACAGCCCCCCGGCCGGGGGGGTGCCCCCGGCCACCGACCTGGTGCTGGGGGCCACGGCCGGGTGCTTGGCCTGCTTCCTCACCAACCCGCTGGAGGTGGTGAAGACGCGGCTGCAGCTGCAGGGCGAGCTGCAGCCCCCGGGCACGTACCCCCGGCCCTACCGCGGGGTGCTGCGGGCGGCCGTGGCCGTGTGCCGGGCGGACGGGCTGCGGGGGCTGCAGAAGGGACTGGCGGCCGGGCTGCTCTACCAGGGGCTCATGAACGGCGTCCGCTTCTACTGCTATTCCCACGCCGAGGACGCCGGCTGGACCGGGTATCCCGGCGGGACCGTGGCCGCCGGGGCCGTGGCCGGGGCGGTGGGAGCCATCGTGGGCAGCCCCGCGTACCTGGTGAGTGCTGCTCCGCTCCAAAGGCCGTGGGGTGTGGAGGGGGGTGTTTTGGGTACCCCCCCAACAGGTTCGGCATCTTGGCTGCATCCTATAAACACTGGCTTGGCGCATTCTCTCTTCCCCTGCCCCCCCCCCCCCCAAAAAAAAAAAAAGTAGGGCTGCGCTGTGCATGCTCTCCCTCTGCTTTCTCCCCCAAATCCCCCTCAGGAAACCAGCAGAGAACTCCCCCAAAAGGAAATTAACCTAAAAGAAATTGCAGGGGTTCCCCCCCCTCCCATTTTAGAGGGTTTCCCCGGTTTTTTGGGGTTGCAGAGCTTCAGCAGTGAGTGTTTGCAGGGTCCCTTTGCGCTGGGAGAGAGGGGTAAAAGGAACGGGAGTCAAAATCTGGAATTACCACTTGGCTACCCAGCTGTGTCCCCCACGTCAGAGGGGCTGAAACGTCCCCTCAAAATCTGCCAAGAAGATGGGGGGACAACAGCTAGTCCCAGCGGGGGCATTGGAGGGTTTTGTCACCTGGCATTGTCCCCACCAAGGTCAAGACCCACCTACAAGCCCAGACAGTGTCGGCCATGGCTGTGGGCCACCAGCACAACCATGAGGTGAGTGGGGACAAGGTTGGGGTGGGGGGACACAGAGGGTTTGGTGACACCTTGTCCGTGCACGCTCCGGGCCCCAGCGGGGACCATGCTATTTTGGTCAGCAGGAATTTAAAGCTGTTGTTTGGCTGCTTGGCCCCGTAATGATGCTAAAAATAACAGTGCAAGAACAGAGGGGGTGTGACAGGCACGTGGGATTGCAATACCGAATCCAGAGAACCCAGACCCCCTGAGATCTCTCCAAAGCCAATAGTGGCTTTGTGTCACCAAGGACCAGCAGGGATGGGATATTTTGCCAGGGTGGGAAATTTTGGCCAGGTGGGATGCACCATTCCCATTTTTCCCATTTTCCCCAATTTCCTCTCTTCCCCAGAGCATCTCCGGCGCTTTCAAGAGCATCTACCAGCAGCACGGGGTGGTGGGGCTGTGGCGGGGGGTGACGGGCGCCGTGCCCCGCGTGGCCGTGGGCTCGGCCGTGCAGCTCGCCACCTTCGCCTCCGCCAAGGACTGGGTCTGCGAGCGCCAGGTGAGCGGAACGTGTGCCGGAGCCGGCCGCCACCGGCCCCCCGTGCTCCCTTGCATTGTTGGGAAGAGCTGATGCCGGCGCTTCCCGCAGTGGTTCAGGAAGGGCAGCTGGGCGGCCGTGCTGGCGGGGGGCATGGTGAGTGGTGTGGCTGTGGCTGTGACAATGACACCTTTTGACGTGATCAGCACGCGCCTCTACAACCAGCCAGTGGACGCCGACGGCACGGTAAGGTCGTTCCAGATACGGCACAGGGGACACACGGCTTTTCCCATCCAGCAGGGGTGCAGAGCTGGTTCCTCTCTCCCCAGGGCAAGCTCTACCGAGGTTTTTTGGATTGCATCCTGCAAATCTCCAGCAAAGAGGGGCTGCTGGGCTTGTACAAGGGCATTGGAGCCGTCTATCTCCGCCTCGGCCCCCACACCGTCCTCAGCCTCTTCTTTTGGGACAAGCTCAGGAACATGGTTCAGCACTAGCAGCCCCCAGGGCTGCAGGACAGACTCCTGCCACCACCACCGATGTTAATAAAGAGGTTTTTCTATTTTTTGTGTTGTCTTGGGGTCTTTGGGGTGGTGCAGATGGCAGGTCAGGACCTGAAACGCTGCGATGCCTCAGGGTGGAGAGGAGAATGGCAATGCCGGCGTGGGGGAGGTTAAAGGTTCTGGTGGTCCCTGAGCCCCTCCATGTGCATCACATCCCTCTTCTCCTAATTTTCACCTCCAAGGGGCAGCTGGAGTTCATCTTGTCTGGCCGGGGCTCCAGCTGCCCTGGCTTGTCCCAATAATGATTTACCAGCCGGGGGGAGCCACTCCCCGCCTCCACCCCACGGACCTTGGAGCCGGGGCCTGGCTATACTTGTGGCTCCTCTCTATCAACCAGCCGGGGGGAGCCACTCCCCGCCTCCACCCCGCGGACCTTGGAGCCGGGGCCTGGCTACACTTGTGGCTCCTCTCTATTGAAAATGTTTTCCCTGGGGTCCTGGCTCCCGGCGTTGCCCGGGCTGGCGTGGGGCTGGGCACTGCTGGATGCGCTCCTGCAAGGTGAGATCCCTGAGGGTGGTGTGGGGACAGCCCAGGGGACACCAGTGACCCACTGCTGCCTTTCCCCACAGGGCTGGTGGGTGCCTGCGCCGTCTCGGTGCTCTGCAGCCTCCTGAAGGTTTATCTCTACATCCAGTGTGCAAAGTAAGCGCCAGCCCTTTGTCCCCTCTGGGGGGGAAGGCTGTTTTTGGGGATTTTGGGATCTGCTGTTGGGCCGTGGCTCTTGGCACCAAGGTGTGCAGGGCAGGGGCTGCAGCCTCTGCTGTACAGCGTGGAGGGGGATGTCACTAAGGCTTGTCACCCCATTTTGGGTGACATCTCCCTGCTGTCCCCAGCAACCCTGAGAGGCAGGCGGAGAAGGAGGCGATCGCGGCGCGGCGGCCGCTGCTGGAGCTGCTGCATGTGCTGGTGCTGACCGCAGTCCTGGCCCTGGTGGGCTCCCGCGTGGCCGCGCTGGTGGTGCTGGAGTTCTCCCTGCGCGCCGTCTCCACCATCCTCTCCCTCGGCAAGGTGAGACAGCATGGGGGAAACTGAGGCACTGCGGGGAATGGTGTGGATAGAGCTGGGAAACTGGGGGCTTGCTCAGCACCCAATGGAGGGGCTGTAGGTGGAGGGGGCCATGCGTCCCTCTGCACCTCAGCCAGGTGTCCCCAGGTGGGCAAGAGTCTAAGTGGGCACAGACCCAGGGCAGTGCCTGTCCCCTGTGCTGGCACTGCTGGGACACCTCCATTTCTGGGACAGTTCTGGGACCTCTGTGGCAAGGACACTGAGGGGATGGAGTGTGTCCAGAGATGGAAACAGAGCTGGGGAAGGGGCTGGAGCACCAGGAGGGGCTGAGGGAGCTGGAAAGGTGCTCAGCCTGGAGAAAAGGAGGCTCAGGGGGGCCCTTCTGGCTCTGCACAACTTCTGACAGTAGGGGACAGCCAGGGGGTCAGGCTCTGCTCCCAGGGAACAGGGACAGGAGCAGAGGGAAGGGCCTCAGACTGGGCCAGGAAAGGTTTAGATTGAATATTGGGAAAAATCCTTTGTGGGAAGGGTGCTCAAGCACAGGACTACCAAGGGCAGTGCTGGAGTCATGGTCCCAGGAAGGATTCAACAAGTGTTTGGACGGGGCACTCGGGGACATGATTAGAGGTGAACTCAGCAGTGCTGGGGGAACAGTTGGGCTCGTTATCTTGGAGGTCTTTTCCAGCCTCACCGATTCCATGATTCCATGGCCCTCCCGCTGCATTGCAGGGCGCGCACAGCAGCCAGCTCTACCTGCTGTGCCAGTACTCGCTGGGCTGCGGGGTGTCCTGCGGCCTCACCTTCCTGCTGGAGGGGGCTCCGCACCGCAGCTGCAACCTGGCTCTGGCGGCGGGGCTGGCGGGGCTGCTGGCGCTGCACGCCCGGCGCCTGGCCCGGCACGTCCGCGCCCTGTACGAGCTGCACAGCCGGCAGCGCTACTGCGGCGTCTGCATGCTGCTGCTGGCCGCGGGGCACGGCATCCCGCGCCTGCTGCGCAACGCCCTGGCCCTCACCTTCGCCGTGGCCGACCTGGCCGCTGTGCAGCTCATCAACCGCGACTTCCTCTCCACGGGCGAGGCCGTGCGCTTCTGGACCCCGCTGAGCATCTGCTACACCCTGCTGGTCGTCTACATGCAGGGTACGGGGGGCTCTGAGGGGCGCGTTGGAGGTGCAACGGGGCGTGTGTGGGGCACTGGGGGCCACCTGGGGCTGTATAGGGGCAGATGGGGGGAGTCCTGGGGGTGTATGCAGAGTATATGGGATGTGCGGGGGGTCCTGAGGCTGTATAGGTGGTCAGGCTGGGGGTGTACAGGGGTATGTGGGGTGTCCTGGGGGTCTGTAAGGGGCTATATGGTACATTCTGGGGGTGTATAGGGGTTTATGGGGCATCCTGGGGGTCTGTAAGTGGGTATAGGGTACATTTTGGGGGTGTATAAGGGTATATGGGGCGACCTGGGGGTCTGTAGGCAGTATATGGTACATTCTGGGGGTGGACAGGGGTATGTGGGGCATCCTGGGGGTCTGTAAGGGGGTATATGGTACATTCTGGGGGTGTATAGGGGTTTATGGGGCATCCTGGGGGTCTGTAAGTGGGTATAGGGTACATTTTGGGGGTGTATAAGGGTATATGGGGCGACCTGGGGGTCTGTAGGCAGTATATGGTACATTCTGGGGGTGGACAGGGGTATGTGGGGCATCCTGGGGGTCTGTAAGGGGGTATATGGTACATTCTGGGGGTGTATAGGGGTATGTGGGGTATCCTGGGGGTCTGTAGGGGGTGTGTGTATATATCCCAGGTGTACACAGAGGGTACTGGGGTGTACAGAGAGTACATGGGATGTCCTGGGGGTACCTGGGGCACCCTGGCACTGTAGAGGGGGTACATGGGATGTACTGGGGGTGTATATGGGCTATGTGTGAAGCCACCCCATGCTTGGTGTCCCCATTGTGGGGCTGCGGAGGTCCCGGTGTCCCCGCGGTGGCTCCCCAATGCCGTGTCCTCGCAGAGGGGTCCCGGCAGAGCACGGGCAGGGGGCCGGCGTTCCGGACCATCGTGGTGCGGATGGGCGGCCTCTTCATCCTCCTCCTCACCGTGGGCCGATGGACCGACATCCTGCACGTCTTCATGTCGCTGCTGGGAGAGCTCTGGTGCCTGCTCCGCTCCGGGGTGCTGCTGGAGTCCTGCTGCAGGCAGGTGAGAGCGGGACACCCCGTGCCACGCGGGGTGAGGGCGGGCAGCAGCCCCGGGGCCGCGGTGACGGGCCTTTGGGCTCCTCTCTTCCGTCCCGCACAGGATTCTGCCCAGCAGCCTGGCGTGGACAGTCTGTCGAGATCCGGATCGGGGGAGACGTCCCGATGAGCCTCAGGGTGGAACCGGACAGCAGAAACTCAGGGTGGCTTCGCTGGGCACACCAGAGTCCCCCAGCACACATCCCCCATGGGGACCAAGGGAAAAAGGGCTCCTGGAAGGCGGCCAACCCCATCCTATGGGATGGAGGAGGTCGGGGGAGGGCTTGTGTTGCCTCTGGTTTTTGGGGGAACCTCGTGAGTTTGCAGCACTGCTGGGGTTTGTTCTCTGGTCCCAGTGGGACTGCAGGATGCTGATGGATGTCCCATCATTGCTGGCAGCTGGGCCACACTGTCAGGGGCCTCCAGGGGGTTATAAATCTCAGAAAATAAAGGCTTTTTATCAGCAAAATCTATGGGCAGAGCAAGCTGGGGTCCCATTGTGCTGAAAAGGCACTTGGGATATTGGTGGTGCAGCTTTTTGAGGGAAGTGGGTAGAATTCCTCCTTGGGAAGGGAAACTGAGGCACAGAGTGGGGTGACCCTGTGGCTGGGAGGTGCCCCTGTGCCTCAGTTTCACCCTGCCTGCAGCCCGCTGTGCTGTGGCAGGGGACAACAGGCCCTGTGAAGGTGGGGTGCAGTGTGGGGAGGGGGGGTTCTGGCTGCCTGGGCATGGATCCCCAGTGCAGGGGTAGGGGGGAGCAGGAGGGGGTCTGGGGGTGTTTGGCTCACCAGGGGCTCTACAGGGATTTACACGACATGCTGGGGCTCTAGGGGGGCACATGGGTGTCCTGGGGGGGTCAGAGAAGAAATATGGGGCATTTTGGGGATGGAGCTGTATGGGGGTGACTGGGACTGTATTGGAGGATAGGGGTTATCCTGGGCGTATATGGAGATATTACAGCTGTATTGGGGTACACAGGCACCCCGGGGTGTATGGGGGGCTCACGGGGCACCCCTTGGGGTTGGGTGCCCTGAGGGTGTGTGGGGATCCATGGGAAAACCTGTGAGGGGGCGATCCCAGAGCATATAGGTCACCCACGGGGCCATGGGTCACCCTGGGGTAGATGGGGCACCCCTGGAGCACTTTGGGGAGCGTGGGGCAGTCGGGGGGTGAATGGGGCACCCTAAGGACACGTGCCCCCCTCTTCCTCCGCCCGGGGCTGTGGGGCAGGCAGGGGGGAGGAGGAAGAGAGGTGGAAGAGGAGGAGGAGGAGGGAGGAAGGGGCGGTGATGCCGGGCGGCTCTGCCTTCCCGCTGCCCCCGCCGCGCCCGCGGAGCGCACGGAGGGACCCGCACCGGCTCCCCAGGTAGGGGACAGGGACGGGGACAGGGTCACCCCCCGTGAGGCTGCAGGGCCACCTCCGGGCAGGCGACACCCCTCCTCCCCGGCAGAGAACCTCGCCCGCAAGGTACGATCGCCCCAGGTAGGGAACACGGGCCACCCTCAGGTAGGGACCACCCCAGGTGTGGGATTGGGCATCCCCCCAGGAGGGGACAGGGGACACCCCAATATGGGACACGGGACCCCCTACGTGATGGGATAAGGACCGCAGTCATCCCGGGATGAGACAAGGGGACCAAGAGCCACCCCCCAGGAGGGGATCGGGGACTCTCCCTGGGAGGGAATGGGGGTTCCCAGGCAGGGGGATACGGTGGGGCCACTGCTTCACAGGGGACGGGGCACTGCCAGCTAGGGGACAGGGAGCTGTGGGGCTGCACGGTGGGATACAGGGGATGCCGGGGGCTGCAAGGCCACCCCCCAGGTGAGGGACAAGAGGAGAGTGGGACCACTTGGGGTGGGGGAAGATGGGACACCAAGCCTTGTGTACCCCATCTCATCCCTTTTTCCTTGGGCATCCTCGGAGCACCCTCTGAGAGGTCCCTGGGGAAGGGGACAGAGTTGAGGCGCAGCTCTAGAGGGCTGTGTCCCATCCCAGTTTTGGGGGTTGTGGGGATACCCCATAAGTGGCCCTATCCCCTCAATCCCACCTGAGCTTCCATCCCAGGAGATTTCAGGGAAACCAGGGGGGTTCCTTTCCAGTGTGGCTTCGGCCACCCCAAACCAGGATGGAGCTGCATGGGGAGGGGGGACCCCCATTAAAGCACCCCTCGAGCCTCGGCCACCCGATGGCCCCGGGCCGGGGGGATCTCGGGGGTGCCGCCACAGGGCCGCCGGGATCCCGGCAGCCCCGGCACAAAGAGGAATGCGATGAGCACATGGTTCCCATTAACCCCGGAGAATTTTTTTTCTTTTTTAGGTTGCTTTTTTCTTTCTTTTTTTTTTTTTTAATGATCTTTTCTTTTTTCCCCAGTTTTCCGCAGCTCTGCTGGGGAGGAGGAAAAGCGGCGGCTCCGGTGGGTGAGGAGCTGGGCGAAGGCCGGTAGCGCCGGTAGCCGGCGGGGAGGGAGGGAAAGAGGGAGCGAAGTGCTCCGGGTTCTTTTTCCTCTCTAATCCCTTCCCTGCTTGAGTCAGAGGCTGAAGTCATCGGCAGGAATATCTCGAAGCTTTTCGCCCACCTCGGGGAGTCTGTCTGCCCCTCAAAAAATGTGCTGACCCACGTGAGTGGGATTTTGGGGGAGTAGAGCCGCATGAGACCGGGAACTCATCACACAGGTATCTTTCAAGCTGCTGATTTACCTCAGGGGTGAATTCTGCTTCACCAACACAGCACCCTGACTAAAGCCGCAGAGTTCACCCCCCCCAATTTATTCCATTTGGGAAGGGGAAGCTTCGCCCCAGCTGCTTTTCCCCTTGGGAAGTTGGATAAACAGCCCTTTTCCTTCCTGAGCAGGGTTTCTAGGGGTCGGCATCCTGCCTGTGCTGCTGGGTGCTGCTCAGGGGATGTGTCAGTGTTGGGGTTGTGGTGATTCACAGCACCACACCTCAGTTTTCCCACCTGGAAAAATAAAAGGGGGGATGTGCAGAGCTGGAAGTGATTAGCAGGGAATTGGGGGTAAGGAGGGAGGGAGTGGGGATATAGAAAGATTTCAAAAAAGGGGTTGCAAAAGCAAAATCCTATAGCAGCCCTGTTTTTTCCAAGGAAAGGTAGGTACTTCCTGCTGCCCACAGGGAGTTTAATCCCATGTGGGTGGGAGCAATAAGAGGAAATGCAGGGGATGCAAATGCTTATGAAAAGGTGGGATTTGGCCACAGAGGTGTGCAAATGGGAGCTATCAGCTGCTGCCTCGCCAGGACTCTGTACCCTGTGTCCTCCCAGGCACGAGACCATTTATTGCTGTGACGTGGGATGGGACGCTCGTTCCTTCTCCCTTTCCGGGAGGAGGGAGGCGGGTTGATGCCGAAGGGCAGCACAGCTGAAGGAGCTGCCAGTGTGCCTGAGAGTTTTACTCTCTTTCTTTCTTATTTTCCCTAGAATCAACCCCTGATCTGGCCCTTCCACGGCTTCAGCGATGTTGCCAGGGAAAGCAGATAAAAGAATTGCTTCATCCATCTTCATCACCCTCGTGCCACCACGGAGGGACGTGGCCACCAAGGAGAAAACCCAACGGGAGCCGCAGCCAGGTGGTGCCGAGGTCCCTGGCACCCATCAGCCCCAGATCCTGCTGTCACCCCCCACGCTGCCCAACGGAGGTGAGGGGTGTCCATGGGGGCTGGAGCAGTGTGGAAGGATGGTGATGGGGCTGAGGAGGCTGTGGAGACGCTTTGCTAAAGGATGCATGTGAGGAAGGGGATGTGGGGGTATTTTTTAGGGGGCTACTCCCCCAATCCCTGCACACATCCTGGCATGGATCCGGCTCCTGGGGACGGGCTGTGTTTGCTCTCCATTGCTGGGTGCTTATCGGTGCTGTTTGTCCCCTCTTGCTTCAATGGCGTTTGCTTTTGGGGCAGGTCAGCTGCTGCAAAGCTGTTGGGGCGTTATTGTGACAGGGCGTTATTGTGGTGGGATGTTACTGGACAATATTGATCCCCTGAACCCCCCACATCTGTCTGTTGCTGCAGAAACCCAGCCGGTGGCCCCTGTACCTGCATCCCCACCAGTCCTGCCCCTCTCTGAAGTGCCCCAGCCCTTGTCCGTGGAGCCGCTGGGTCTGGCACTGCAGCAACTAGACCTTGCAGCACCTTCCACTCTCCAGGTGAGGATAACAGAGTGCAGTCCCCCCCAGTGCCTCAGTTTCCCCACCTGCAGGGTATAACTAACATGGCTTTGCCCTTCCCCACTTGCCAGGCCCCTTCCACCTTCCCTGCTGAATTGAAGCCACCCACATTTTCCCAGGAACAAGCAGGCAAGCGGCAGTGGCAGGATGTGAATGGTGACCTGGGGAGGGACAGCTCCAGAGGTAAGGGAGACCCAGCTGTGCATGGGCTCATCCCCACTTAGGGAAACTGAGGCACACAGCTCCCAGCCACTCTCCCTGCTTCTTGCAGACATCTGTGCCTTCTGCCACAAAGCGCTGGGGCCCCGGGAGCCGACGGTGGAGGCAATGCGGAAGCAGTACCACCCTGACTGCTTCACCTGCCGCACATGCCACCGACTCCTGGCTGGGCAGCGCTACTTCCAAAGAGATGGGTGCCCCACGTGTGAGACCTGCTTCCAGGTACCCGTCCTCCTTTGGGGAAAACCGGCACCCTCAGAACGTTGGGGCGCGGGCTGGTGTCTCATGGCACGTGTTCCCTAAATTCCAGGCCACGCTGGAGAAATGTGCCAAGTGCCAGGGGCTGATCACGGAGCACATTGTCCGTGCTCTGGGCAAGGGCTACCACCCCAGCTGCTTCTCCTGCGCTGCCTGTGGCCGGGCCATCGGCACGGAGAACTTCGCCGTGGACGAGCAGGGTGACGTGTACTGCGTGCCCGACTACTACAGGTTGGCCGTGGGGAAGGGAGTCCCATGCTGGGAGCTGGGTTTGGCTCGTCCCCGTCACCCCGTGGGGCTCACGCTGCCCCCATTGGCTTCCATCAGGAAATATGCTGCGGTGTGCAGCGCCTGCGAGCGCCCCATTGTCCCCCGTGAGGATGAGGACACCTACAAGATCGAGTGCCTGGGACGCAGCTTCCACGAGAGCTGCTACCGCTGCGAGGTACGGCCCCGGGGACTGGGTGGCACTGAGCCTTGGCTGAACATGGACACAGGGATGGCAGCACCCACAGCTGGTTTTTAGACCCCAGTTTATCTTACAAATAACGGGGATGGGGAAAATAAATAAATTGGGTGGTGGTGAGATGATGATGTGTTTGGAGAACTTCAGCTTTGCATGCTTTTGATGTAGTTTGTCACTGTTTTGGAGTGCTGGTGGGTTTTGCAGGGAAAATAGGATGTGACACATACAGGGACCCCTAAAAGGTGGCTTCCTTTTCCCCTCTTGCCCCCAGAGCTGCAGGATGCCTCTGTCACCGGAGCTGACAGAGAATGGGTGCTACCCCCTGGACAACCACCTCCTCTGCAAGTCCTGCCACATCCACTGGCGCAACGAGTCATCCTGCTGAGACCCTGCAACTCATCATCCCCTTCCAGTGCCAGGCAACAAAAAGGGGGTGCCCACAGTGGGATGAGCCCCATGGCTGACCCTGGGTGCCTGCTGCACCCCCAAATTACTGCAGAACTGGGTTTTCATCACCAAAATGTCCCCAGGACCCTGACCCGGTGGGCTGGCGGGATGAAAAATCGTGGATATGTCCCAGCACAGCTCTGCACTCATAACGAATATAAAATGCCCTGACAGAGCAGCAATGAGGAGTGGAGGTTTTATTCCTTATTGATTTTTTTAAACTCCTTTTTCCAAAGGCCAGTTTGGTTTTCTTGGGTGGTGTTTCTTTCTTCTCGAGCTTCCTTGGGGTTTCACTGAAATGTTTCTCTCTGTGGAGAGCGGGCACTGATTTAGTTAATCACAGTTAAATAAAACCCCGAGTTTAAAAACTCTCATTCCTTTCATTCACCCTGCATTCCAAACCTATCAAATCCAAGTTTAAAAATAAGGAAAAAAAGCCGGTTTTGGATTTTCTAGTCGTGGCGAGAGTTGGTCCATAAAAGTTGATTTTAGAGTGTAGCAATGTTGCAGATGCTGCTGTCACCCGGGGGGGAGCCGAGTGTTAATTTTTGGGGTGTATATGGGATCTGGCGATGTTTCATGGAGTTGATAAAAGGGGTTTTGGTGTGGTTTGGGGTTTTTTTTGCTGACTATCTATCCCGGAGCCGGCAGAGGGCAGCCGGAGCACAGATTCCTCCATCAGGCAGCAAAGCTCCAACTAAAAGCATCCCGCAGGGCCGGGACACTGGGAAAGACGGACAGCCCGCTTTCTGCGTATTATCCGAGATTATAGCGCTCTGCCAGTGGAAGCTTTTTGGTCTCCTCTCAGTCCAGGCCTCCAACCAGCAGAAATTAGACCATTTCTCTGCGCGCCCAACATCTGCGCAACCGATGTTGCCGGTGCTTAGTGGTTTTTTGTGAGGGCGTTGCAAACCAGGCGGAGAAACTTTTTAACTTTCTTTTTAACCGAAAGTGTTTAAAAAGCCACAAATCAAGAGCAGAAAATGGCAAGAGCATGTGAGATGATGTTTAATGCTTTCCTGATGGAAAATGGGAGCTGTAAACAAAGAAAACAACCACCAGGCTAGCAGCTCCCAAATCACATACAACATCTCCAGTGTGTGCTTTGTTTATGAGTGAAGGGGTTAATGATGGTTAATTAATCACATCAATAACTATTTCCTGGTGACTCTTCCCTGTCTACAAACCTGATTACTCAGTGTTTGTTAATGAGCATCTCTGGGCCATCAATCAGGTCACAACTTGCTTTAAAGGTATTTATAAATAAGTTGTGGTCTGTCCTAGTCACGTAAATTGGTGGCTTTGGGTCCAGTTGGGTGGGAACTCCTTGTTCCATGCCAAGGAATTCCTGTGCTCCAAGTCAGCTCTCACTTTCCAAAGCTTCTTGTACTGTGAGGAAAATCTGGCATCAAAATAATGCTAAAAAAGTAAAAGGATGTGGCAGTGGCCAAAGGGAGCACAGAAAAAAAAAAGGCCCAGAGGGCAAAGGGCTGCTTGCATTTTGTAATATGGATATTTTTCCACTCAAGGTTTTTGGGGAGGGTGGAAGTGCAATGCTGAGTGTTTTGGATGTGTTATTGCAAGTTGCACTACCCTTCCACAGAGGAATGGTGGGAAGGAGTTGGGTATTTCCCCCTTGGAGCCTTCCAGGATGGGCTGTTGGCACTGGGACTGCAGAATTTTTGGCTGCTGACAGGCAGGGAAATGCTTTTATTTACAGGCAGCCTTGGAGAAGGTCCTGGAAAGCAAGGAGAAAGGAAAGGCACCACTGGAGAGTTTGGCAGCATGGTGAAGGGATGTGGTGTGGTCAGATTTGATGTGGTATTTCAGGAGTGGAGGGTGACAAGGAACAGGGATACATGGACACAGGTAAGAGGACAAAAAGGCTGATTTAAGGCATTTTCTTCCTGAATAAAGGGAGGAGCACTATGAGCTGAGGCATGGGGAGCATTGCTTTGCCTGAAAAGCACAGCCCCATGTTTTCCCTTGGGAGGAGCTCGAGGAATTCTCAGCCTCATGCAGGAGATCCTGCAGGAGCTGGATCCTGTCCCGCTGCCGAGCAAACCCAGATCATCTGCAGTGGCTCAGCCTGTCCTTGGGCTCCTCACCCCGTCACGAGCACTTCTGCAAGCACCCAGGTCCGCAGAAATAAACCAATCACACATCCTGCCTTGAACAATAACATTTTGGGGGGCTGGGCCCACCTTGGACCACCCAGGTGTAAACCCCACTCCAAGTCCCTCCTCTTGTCCCTGTGGCAGTGGCAAAGGGCAGAGAGGATGGCAGTGCTCCGAATGGCTCCAGCCCTTCCCTTGGCTGCTGCAATCAGCTCTTGCAATCCCTCTTGGCAGGCTGAGGAGAGCGGGAAGGACCTGGCTGCCTTCCAAGGAGCAGCAAATGCAAATATTTCCTCACTTCAGGCTGGGTGCGGCCCGCGGATAAAATTTCCTTGGGCTTTCCCAGCAAAGGCATCCGATCTCTCGCTCTGCTGCGAGGCCAACTTGCTCCCAGGAATACAACCATGTGTCCCATAAAAAAAAGCCTAAAGGTTATCTTTTTACGACTCAAAGGACTGCCTGGTTTTTAAAAAGAGGTTTTAAATTGAAGAAGGAGCTGCCAGGCACAGTGGTTTTAAAACAGTGGTTAAAGTGTTGCTTCATGGAAAAAAACACCAACCTTTTTGCAGGTTTATTTGGAAATGGAAGATTTGTAGTGTGGTGCAAGGAAACTGGGATGACAAAGGGGCTCAAAAAGGTGCTGGGAGCAAGGCTGGGTGCTGGTGATGGATTTCTGAAATAAGATAGAAAGAGCTGCAGGAAAACTGTTGTTTTTTTTTCTTTTGGATCCCAGGTTAACAGCAGTCACATCCCAGCCAGCTCCCTGCAGTGTTGTTCTTCCCCACAGAGCATTCAGACCTATTTTCCGCACGTTCCTTTGACACAGCCTAAAAAAAAATTATATTTCTTACATGAAAAGTGGTCTGATACTGCTGATTCTGGGAGAGGCAAAAACCAGCAGGGATTATAAAATGAACAGCCCAAGCGAGGATTTCTCCAGGTCATGCAGCACAGGTGAAATATATATTTAAAAAAAAAAGGCTGTATGCTAATATTCTCATTTATCCCCAATTTTCCTGGCAAAACTGAACCACCCACTGCCACAACGTAGTTTTAAAACACATTGATTTTGATAGCATGAGGAGAAAGGGATGAGGCGAGTGCGCAAGCGCGTTACCAGGCTGCAAGTGCTATGCTGGCTTCTTTATAAAATAAAGGATAAAAAGCCCAACCCACCCTATTTCTGTGAACACACGCACAGCACACACCTGCAAGCAGGGTTTTGCTATTTCATATCCCAGATTTCCTTCATCATATCAGGGATTACAGCATCCTGCATCCCTATTTCCTGAAAATTACCAATTTTCACCCAGATATGGCTTCAAGTGGTTTAAGTAACATCTTTATTTTGATAGAATGTCCCATAAAGCAGTGTGAGTGAGGAGTTTTATTGAAATAAAAACACGGATATTTTTTGAAGAGGTTATCCTCTTTGTCAAGGTGGATTATTGACCTCAGGCATTTATCACTGGGGGGGAAAAAGTGGAGAAGGATGGGGAATAAATATGTATATAATAATTTATACCTTAATTCTCCGTGCTGCTAAACTTTTCCTCACAGCCAAACTGGGGAATACGCTTTAATCTCATGTATTGGATTGCTTCCTCTTAGTATGGTAGTTTTTTATTTGTTTGTTTGCTGAAGCAATGAGGCTCTAGGCGGGAAGTTAAGCACGAAGTGTTTCGTGAGGAAAAAGACAAACTCCTGAAGAAAAAAGATAGAATGAGGAGGAAAAGGAGGGTTTGGGGTGACAAAAGGCGGCTCCGGCCGGGGCTGCCCCTCAGGCGCGGCCCCGCCGCGCTCGTTTCACAAAATGGCCGCCCGGCGGGGCCGCGGGAGCGGCTCTGAGGCGACAAAATGGCGGCGGGCGGAGAGCGGGGGGAAGGACGGGCGAGGAGCGGCGTGAGCACAGCGAAGGGCTCTGATCCTGTGGGAATCCCCTCCGGGCGGGGGGCGAAAGCGCTGCGGGTGAAACCTGACCTTCTTCTTATTCCCCCTCCCTCCTGCCCTTTTCTCCACGCCGCCTTTGCGAAAGGATGTGAAAATGGCCAGAAATGCGCATTTTATTTCGGCCATGGCGGAGCCTCCGGTTTCTCCCTTCACCTCAGCTCCCCCACTCCCCCAGTTATACCCCTAAAATGTCATTTTTTTTCCCCTCACAGCTGAGGGGTTTTGGCCCTGAATTGCTCTTTCCACATGCCCCCCACCCCTCCCTTCATCATCACCACACGCACCCCCAAGGTGGGTAGTTTTATGCCTAATTCTTTGCTTTTCCACCGCTTTTCTCCTTCGCAGGGGTTGAAGCCGCCATCTCCCGGTCTCTTCACGGCATGGAAAATCCCCAAAAGTACTTAAAGAAAAAAAAAAAAAAAAACAACTACAAAAATAAAAAAAGTCCCAAACGCACGAGGATTGATTTATCATCGGAGCCGTAGTGGTATGGGAAGAAGCCATCGCTGCTTGCCTGCTCCCCACGACAGCTCGCCCGCCATTCGCTTAATTAAAATCATATATTGGTGTGATCAGACGTGGTAATACCATTAAAAAAAAAACCAAAAACAAATCCTGTAACATCCACACACTCGTTGTTGGAGGCTGTAGCCAAGGTACTATGCTTTTTTTTTTTTTTTGGTTTTGTTTTGGTTTGGGTTTTCTGGTCGTTTTAAATATTCTTTTAATGTTGCCTTACCCTTTTTTCCTGCATCAGAGTGTTGTTACAGGCTATAACATTGCCTCTTAATTCTTAAAAGCTTCGTACCTAAAAATAATGGGTTTTTTTCCCATAGAATTGCAGATTTAGGCCCATAAAGATGCTTTTTTTATTTCTACAGATACAGAAATACTTGCATATATTTATTAAATATAAATATGTAAATACTGTTATATATTTCAAATTTTTATATAAATGACCTTTTCCCAGGGACTATTTAAAATATAAAATAAGCCCACACACCTAAAAACTATAACTTAATTATATATAATCACTATAACTTTGGCCTAATATATCTTTGATTTTATAGATATATATATATATATATATATTACCTTTGTTTTCCTCCATTGGTTTCCTACTACAATGTGTCCTAAAAGCAGGAGAAAAAAAATGCCATCAAAAATAAAAAAAAGGAAAAAATAACAAAAACCAACCCATCTCTTTTTTTACAGTCCATGGTGGAAGTTTGTGCCTGAATGTTTTATTTGTTCCACAGAGATGTAGATTTTCCTTGGGAGATTTGGGAAGGATTATTTTTTAATGAAAAAGAGGAAAAAAATACACCCAGAAAAAAAAAAAAAAAACCAAAACCAAAACAAACAATGAAAAAGAAACAAAAAGGAAAAAAAGCACAACAGAACCAAACCGCAGTAAGTGAAGCTGCAAATGCCACCCAACAGTCCGGATCAGACAATTCATTGCACAAAAAAAAAAGGATAAATGGAATTGCAATGGCCGGCTTTGCTGTAGATCCAGGAGGAGGGATCAGCTCCTTTATCCCACCATCTCGCGCTACAAACACCACCATTTTTTTCCTCTCTTTTTGTTTTTAAATACGCTTTGTTGGGGCGTTTTGTTTCGAGCCGAGGCGGCTGCACCACCCCCCGAGCCGGGGCTGCCGGAGCCGCTCGGGGGCTTCACTTTTACAGAGATCTCTTATTTTTCCCGGGCCTTGTGCAATCCTCTCCGTTTTATTACATGGGTTTGGGGTTTTTTTTCCTCTCCCCTCTGCGGGTATAAAGGTTTCTGCTTGTTCCAGAAGTTTCCACGGGGGCGGGGAGCCCCCACTGCGGCGCCTTTGCCGCAGCGCCGGGCAGGAGGAGGAGGACGCGGAGGATGCGCCACCTCTCCCTGGCTGGGAGCCTCATTCCAAGCCGCTCCCCCTTGCTCCATTCCCCAGCCTTGAAAACAGAGCGCTGGGAGGTGTTTGCAACTTGGAGGGGTTTGTGGGTTTTTAAAAAAAAAAATCGCTTTGTTTTTTCCTTTTTTTTTTTTTTTTTTTCTTTTCTTCCCTCTAAATAAATGGAAAGCAGAGCTGTCGCTGATGGAGATGGATGAGGCAGGGCTGGCAGCGCCGCAGCTCTGCTCCGGCGTGGCCATGGCACCGATGGCATAAGTGACCTTTCCCAGGCGGTGGGAGAGGGGATTCCCCCCCCCGCCCCAGCGTGCTCCTGCTCGGAATTCATTTTAAATAGAAGGAGTATTATTTTTTATTTTCCTTCCCCCCTCCCATTTCTCCTTCACTTTTTTGTTTTGGTTTTGTTGTTTTGTTTTGTTGTTGTTTTTTTTTTTTTTTCCCGAAGCTTCCTCATGATCTTTTTTTTTTTTCCTGTGTATGTTTTGAATTGCATTTTAAAATTGCCCAGCTGGAGACAAGGCTTGATTAGAGCTGGAACAATAGCTCCCTTTTATTAATAACTGGAAGGATTTACAATCGTACAGCACCTTCCTTGGAAAGCTTTCCAAACCATTTGCAAACACTCACAAATTTCAGATTGTGCAGCCCTTGGCTGTGAGGTGGGTAAGTATTTAATGGTGCCACCACCCAAAATCACCTCGGTGGCAAACCTCAATTTCTGAGTGCTTAAAAAGATGACAAATTTGGTTTGGTTTTTTTTTTTGTTTTTTTTTTTTTTTTTTTTGGTGGGGGGTGGTGAGTGGGGTGGGGTGGGGTTGGGGTGTGGGGCTGGCTAAAAGCTGTAACCTAAATCTGTAGATGCAGAGTGTTTGCTGCGTCCTGGGAACTGGGCTGTTATCCCCCCAGCCATGCAGCTTTCCAGAGCCGAGCTGTGGATTTGCTGCGTGTCAGTAAACATCTGCTGATGGATTTTTTGAATTTTTTTTTTTTTAATCCATTCCCTTTTTGCAGTCCCTAAGTGACCTCCTGCAGCGCTGCATCCGTTGCAGTTCCAGCACAGCCTTGCACTGGAGTACTGATATGTGTCCCTGCGAGCCAGAGTGACCTTGCTGGGGGTACTGGGCCCACCCAGCGATTCAGGTGCTCTACTTTGGTCCCACATCCCTGCATCCCGTTTTTTTCCAGCGCCCAGGGGGTTGCTGCAGTTATGGGTTAAAGCTGTTTCATGCCTTATTTTTTTTCCTCTGGTTTGTTTGTTTGTTTTTTCCAAGGGAAACAATGTATTGTTTATGTAGCCCCTCTCCACAGCAGATCCCTAGAAACCATGCAGGGATCCGGGAGTCACCCAGGCAGTGGGATCTGGCCTTGCCAGAAGCATGAGGGATGAGGCTCCAGCCACGTCTGCGTGTGTCACACACGGGCCGCACAAACTCACAGTGTTCTTGTAGCCAGCAGAGCATGAGTGGGTCCCAGGGCTTCCCCTTCCCACTGCTTGCTGGTTCACAAAGGCTGATGCTTCTGGAAAAAGCTCTGCCTTGTGGCCTTTAAAATAAATAAATAAAGCGGCGCTGCTGTGGATTAGTCATCCTTATTTTTGAAGGAAGCTGTTTGCCAGCGCTGTCCGAATCACGCATGTGCGTGTGAGGTGGGAACTCCAGAAGGCTGGTAACGTGCTCTGCTCGCTGCTCCTTGGAGCTCAGCCACCCGGGCTTCGTTGAGCTGCTCCTGGCAGGTGAAAAAACCGACAGTCCAGCTTTCCAGACCTTTCCCTCCTTTTTTTTTCTCAGTGCTGGAATCTGCATTGGCAGGTGTGCAAATGTGGAGACTGTAACAGCAGCAAGCGAGGATGGATGAGCTGTTTTTCTGGGGTCACATCCAAATCCAGAGAAGAAACCCTGGTGATTTATAATTTTTTTCTTGTCTCTGGTAGATTTTATTCTGAGCTCCACTGTATCTCGTGAGAAGACTGAGTTTGACCCTTTTGGCTACTAAAAATGGTTCTGTTTTTAAACCTTGGTGCTTTTTCCCTTCCCTGTGGTCATGCAGAAGAGCAAGCAGTGCGATTAAACAGTACAGCAAAGGGCAGCTCCCTCCCCCTTTCCCTTTCAAAAAATCCAGAGTTGTGTGTCTTGAACTGCTGCATAGGCAGAAAACATACAAAGCCCTTGTCAGCATTGTGCTGATGTGTGGCACGTTAAAAAAAATACACACAAAAGGGGTGGGGAGAGCGGGTGCCTCCAGGGAGCAAAACTGTGAGGCCCCTTTCCCTCCAAGCCCACAGACCTATGTGGGATAGTCTATTCCTCCTAATTTTGCTCAGGCAAAGGCAGTGAAAGTCAGAGGGAGTGTTGAACATCTTAAGTGGTGTTGATGAAGATCAGGGTCCCCTTGAATTACATTTTTTTTCTCTGTGAACTTGCTCCTGTGAGATGCAGCTGGTTCGTGACTCCATTCCTCAGAGTCCTGCTCACTCGCCAGGAAGAAGGGAAACGCTCCCTTACTTGGGTGTCCTTCCTTTTGTTGTGTTGCAAAGGTAATAACCAGAGACCTGGTGCTGGTCTCTGCCAGGTCACACATGGCTTGGAGGCGCAGCTTCCCGCAGTCATTAGTGCACAGGGAGTGCTGGGGGTCGTTAGCCACTCTTAATGAGGATATCGCATCAGGATTCCATGGATGCCACTGGCTGACCCGGCCCTGGAGAAACCCCTTAGGAGAAATTATTTCACGGATTGGTTGCTGCAGGGATTTCTAGCACAGCTACGGCTTTATTCTTGTTTTTAGCCAAAATTAAGCACAGGGTGGGGATGAGGTGGCCAGGCCAGATTTCATGCCCTGCTCCCTGTGGTAGGTGTGTGAAAAGTGTGCCTAGAGCCTTGTTTAGAATAAGGCAGTGTGGACAGGGATTTGGATTTTGTTCCCTCGTTAGGGCTGTGTTGGTTTGGAGATACACCTTGTACTCTTCATAGGCCTTTGCTGGCAGGGAGGTTCAGAGGAGCAAGAAGCTGCCTCTTGGGATGATTCCACATTTTTCAGGCTGGCACACCCTGTGGGACTCTAAATTACTTTCCTTTGGCAGTTTAGGATAAACGACTGAGAATTGCCTTGTGAGCGCTGAACTTTTACCACCCTGAAGAGTTACTCGAGCTACATCCATGATATTTCCAAGCTAAACAAAACCTGAATTTCCAGTGCCAAAAAGCGATACAAACCTCCACTCCTCCTCTGTTCAGGAGAAAACCACAGTCTTTCAAGCTTTGCTCTTAGCCCAAGGAGTTAAAAAGCTGCACAGTGAGATCTGCAGAGGTGAAAATAAAAGCCAAAGGCAGATGAGGAACTTCTCCCATGCTGTGTTGGAGGAGAGGCTTTAGAACGCAGCAGGTGTTGATGCACAAATATTTCTCTTTGTGCTTTCTCTGGAGTGAAGGAGTGGTAACTCCACAGACATGGGCTCACTCCTCTTCATTTAAACACCCTCACGTTGCTGTGGTATCAAAATGGTGTTTGATGAAACCAAAGCTCAGATAGTGGTGGCTCGGAGTTTATTTTGTGCTGGGTGTGCTGCTCAATCCAATGTGGAATGTGGGAAGAGCAGCCTGTAGCTTGCAGGTTTGGACTGTGGGGCTTGTGCTAAAGCCTTGTCCTGTAACATTTCCAGTGTAATTTCTGAGATTTTTTTTTTCTCCTGGGCATTGCACACAGGTAAACATCACATCTGGGTATAGAGTTAATATACCAATTAGGTGTTAAAAATGGCAAAGTATAGGATTCAGTGATTCAGTGACCAGTCCTAGGGGATTTATATCCTTTACAGTTGTCCTATTTGGGTATCAAATAACATGGAACTGTCTTTTTTCATTTTTGTTTTCTTTGGTTTTCCCTTAAAATGCAATCTTTTGCAGCCTGGAAGGCTTTAGTCCTGTCTAGTGATGAAAGCCCTGTGCTTGGGGAGAATCCTTGTGAAGTGAGCAGACACAGCTCTCTAGCATGTACAGGAGTCTGGGGGCAAGGGGAAGTCGGGCAGAAGTTGGCACTGTGATATTCCTGTGATTCTTGTAATATTCCTGTGATTTTTTTTCCCCAACAACAGGCTAAAAAAGGGTGTTCTTTCTAATATATCTACCACACCATAAGCAAGAGTAAACTCTTTTGCAGTCCTATGTTGGCATGTAAGCTTTGGTTGTGTGGCTTAACCATCACTCTGGGTTCTGCTGAAGAAACCTCTGGTTCTTTGTAGAAGGAATTTTAAAAACAGAAATGTGCTTTTATATAGACATAAAAGTGTGTTCAGTGTCAACTGAAGTCCAGGGCCCCCTGTATACTGGGCTGTGGGATGTGGCTGCTGTTAAGACACTGACTAAAATGGTGGCATTTTGTGGCAGCTCCCCTCCCTGGCGCTGTGGGTAAGAACACCACAGGGAAGAGCAACAGAAAATAAATTACTAAATGTTGCATTTCAAAAACGTGAAGGGAATTTTCTGCACAGAGTCATCTCATCAGGAAGATTTGGAGCACTAACTCTCAAAAAGAACCGAAATCAAGAGTTTTATTAATATAAATCCTGTGCTTTGTGTTGATTAAGGCCCCAGAACCCGGCTCTGTGCTCCAAGTGTTTTCAACCCCTAAGCCCATAGCCTCTGTCTTGGCAACAAATGGGCCTAAATATCAAACAGCACCAATTATTTCTTGGAGAAAACGAGCATAAAGCAGAATGGGTAAGCTATAAAATTAGGCCAATAATTCAGGCTGGCTTAAAAAGGAGATAAAAGCCTAGCTGGGAATTTGATATTCAGCTGTCATAGTGTTCTTTTAATAAATACTATCAATGAGCAAGGAAGACATGTAAATATATTTTATCCTGACAAGATGGTGGCTGGAGCTGGCTGGCTCAAAGAAAGGAACACTGCGTGTTTCTTGGGGCTCTTTGCTGGGAAACCTCCTGGTTTTGTACAGAAAGCAAAGGAACTGGCTGTGCACTGGCGGTGGGGAGAACCCTCGTGTTCCTGCCCAGATCCCCGTGCATTCCAGCTGACGTAGCCAGGGAGAGGTGTAATGTCCCCCTTTCCCAGCACACCACACCGAGATGTTGCTGAGCCAGACCTGAGGGTACGAAGTTGTAGTCGGAGCCAACAAGTCCTGGTTGCTGTCCTTGTTCAGTGTCTAATCTTTGCTGTTTGAAATGTTTGGTGAGCAGTCTCAGCGATGTGTGGCAGCTCCGCCGCTCGGGAAAGGCGCCGTGTTCAAAATGGATAAACCTGCCTTTTGAAGCATTGTGTCTGCCCACTTTTATTTATTGGTTTATCCTCCTCAAAGAGAGGCTGCTGTGTGGACCCCAAGGATGTTTTCCGCTTCTCCTGCACTTTTTTTTTTCCTTCAAACTGGAGAGCTGCTAACTTTATTAGCTCCTTATATGGCAGCCCCATTTTCTCACGCCTTTAATGGCTCTCTTTTGATCTGTCCTGTTCTTGCCTTGCTTTTCCTGACATGAACGTGGTGCTCAAGCTGAGATAGGTTTATAACCTGCTCCCTCGCTAATAAATGGCCTGGCACTTTAATCCTCTCCAAGCACTGATAAGAAACATCCAAATGTTTTAACTGTGGGGCTGGCTGAGTTGTCCGGAGATAGCCAGGCTCTCAGCTACACCCTCCCAGGAGTAATTGAAATTGTTTTTTGCAGTGTGTATCCCAAAGGCCGAGGGTCATGGAGAACAGCTCAAGTCCCCTTGTCCTCAGCTGTCTGGCCCCTGGGAAGGGCAGCACGCAGGGCAGTGCAGCCGTGTCTCCCCCTGGGTGCTCCTCACGCTGTCGCTCATGGCAGGGCACTGGGCTGGAACAAATGTGTGTCTGTTCTGCAGATGCAAGGATGGTGCTGATCCTTCGTCACAGCCCCTCTGGCCTGCTGAGGGGAGGGTTATACCTGCTCTGCTCTCCAGCCTGGGTCTGTGTTCTTTAAAATCCTCGACTGAGCTGGGGGGATCTGGTTACAGCAGCATCACTGATGCAGCTGCAACTAGGAACAGCTTCCCTGCAAAGCATTTGAGGACCATCACCATGGTCCAGAGCTTTGTTTTGCGTCACCAGCCGAGCTTTGTGCTGCTCTTCCAGCTGGCTGTTGTGTAAATGGAGCCCTCCTGGCACTCATCTCAACCCTCTCCTGTCAACAGAGTCGATGGCTTTGTTTGTGACAGCTCCCAGTGCCTGCATGTCCTGTGAGATGGCCCGGGTGACAGCAGTGACTCCGTGTGAGATTCCCTGGAAGGACCTGGGAGCTGGTGTGGTTGCCTCGTGTCCCTCGGAGATGCCACCCCAGCAGGGAGAATGAACAGTTGGAATTACAGTTGCAGCAAGTGCACTCCATCAGAGGGAGAATTTGTCATGGAAAAGCTGTTTGATTTTTTTTGGTGGTTTTGGTTTGGGTTTTTCCTCTCTGAAATGCAGAGCCCC